ATCGTCATTCAAAAATTTTTTACTTTAACCAATCTGTCTAAGAAATTGATACATTAAGCCTATTGACCTTTGATCCACTTATCACAATAATTCCTCCCGTGTTTGGTTTTATTCTGTATTTCCCGTTGAGCTATGGAAGCGTGAAGCTGTACGCAGGCCACTCTTATGTTCTCAGCTGTTTCTTCCACTGCTTTTTGCTTAAGAGAATCTTCCTCCTTCCAGGTTTAGGATGTGAGGTCCCAGGTGAAATCCAGCACCAGTCCTTCTCCCCTTGGGACGGGACACTACGAAGGGCCCAGTTCACGGGCACCCACAGGCTGACCTTCCCAACAGGCACTCAAGGTACAAGGGACACAGCTACAGCAAGACTTTACCAGCAGCCGGTGGCCTTTCCTTTCCTGATTCTTGCCCAATAAACCTCAATCCTGGCATCTGAAGATGTCCCTACAAACACATACAAGGTCTCACCACCACTGAAAGGCAGCACGAACCTGTTTTTATATAAAAAGTACATACGCCACACACAGCCATGCCGCAACCCTGTGAGCTTAAAGAGACTCGACTCTATCTGCCCCAGTAAGAAATCTTCCTATGGCCACAGCGACATCTGTTCCGCAGAAGAGCAACAGGCACCTCGAGTCACCTGCTCGCAGGTGAAGCGAATCTGCACTCATCTGACTAAATGTCAAGCTCAGCTGCCTGGATACCTGCAAGAGGAGAAGTCTCCACGGCATGTGACTCCTGTCTCTTGGCTCCATTATTCTTACGTCTGTTTGTGGGAAACCCGATGAGACAGCAAGTAAGGGAAGCTTTGAAACCAGAGAAGGGAAAGAAGGGAAGCGGACAAGTATCCAGCAGCGGAGAACAACAGAAGGGAAGAGTCGCTGCCGGTGAGGCACAGGCCCCCTCAGCCGTGTGCCCTGGCCCAGCCCCGGCCCTGGTGGAGCCACCGAGCACCAGGCCGGGCACAGCTCCCCTGCGTCCCTGAACTCAGGCCCTCTGGAGAGCCGTGCTGAAACGCTTGGATTGTTCCAAATGCCATTTAGGAAGCAAACAAGATTTTTAAAGGACTTTTATTATTTATCCCTTTAATAAAAAAGGGTCAGATAACCACATCTGGCCTCCGATTTTTAAAAGCATTTACAGAATTTGCCCCTCGACTACCAGGATCTCATCCAGGCTTCAGAACACCAGACCACTCTGCTGCCCTTCATCTGGGCCAGGCTGCTGACTCGTTGTTTTGTAAGGCAGTGATCTGGTCCTGGAGAAATACTCAGAGAGGCAGCCACTACTTTTCAATCTACAGGTCAAAACCAACAAGAATAAAATCCTCCAGGGATGAAAGGGTAACAAAACCTGCCAAACAACTCTGTTCATGTGATTTAAGCAGAAGCCACGCGAAGAGAAGCACTAACTGGAGAGAAAAACCGGGCCTGGCATGGACGTGGCCAGCATTCCGCCCCTCGGAATCTGAGGAGCAGCTTCTGGTAAGTACTTCATTAAATGACACCCAGGTCGTGAATGGCAGAGGCTGAGCAGGTATAATTATTAAAAGAAAATGTTTTTCTTTGCCTCCTTTATAGTTTTAAAACAGAAATATTGGAAGATCAGTAATATTTTTCAATGCAGATACAGCAGGCATCTTTTTCTCTCAAAATCAGCCCTCCGGTTTTTGTTTCAGCAAACGAAAATAAAAGTGGAATATTTTCAAGTTTGAAATTTGATTTTTTTAAAGATTTTTATTTATTTATTTGACAGAGAGAGAGAGAGAAGACAAGCAGGGGGAGCGGCAGGCAGAGGGAGAGGGAGAAGCAGGCTCCCCGCGGAGCAGAGCCCGATGGAGGGCTCGATCCCAGGCCCCTGGGATCATGACCTGAGCCAAAGGCAGATGCTCAACCTGACTGAGCCACCCAGGTGCCCCTTTCTAAGGCCTTTAAAGTGAATATTTTAAATACAGTTTTTGTGGAGAGAAAAAAGGGTCTAAAAATCAGTCAGACTGCACTTCTTAATGAGCTGCGTATTCCCCACACTTGGAAAAATACCACTTAACATGTCTTGGAAATTAGCTCAGTGATAGAAAAGTCACCCGTTTAATAATTACATTTTCATGATGGCAACAAAAGTCACGTTTACATTATAGACAAAACCACAACAAGTCACCAAGAATCAAGGCTAGGAAATGTCTGCAAAGCTGAAAATGGCGCAGACCCCCCCATTCAAAGAGGACCAACTGGCCAGTCCGAAGACGCGGTGCCCACGGGACTGGCACAGCGCCCACTAGCGGCTGTGTTCCTGCAACAGCAAGAGCTACGACCGACCGCGCCTCCGGGGACCTGCCTGCCTGAAAGAGCCTGTGTTGAAGCGATGACAACAAAGCTCAACCGCTGGTGACCCGGGTCCCCACGGCCGCTGCCATTCGAGGGCACACCTACTTCTCCATCACAGAGGGAACCCGAGCTGGAAGGAAGGTGAACCGGGAAGCGGTGAGCGCTGCGCGGCCAGAACTGGAGGCAGAAAGGTGGCCGATGAAGACAGCCCAGCTCACACGCCTGTCTCTACAGAAGGGGGGGAAAACACTTAGCCCAGGTATTACCCTGAAGGACACACACGGGGCTTGTCCTCATTATTACAAACTACTGAAAAGATCCAATTCCCTGTGGCAGAGCCACAGTTTACATGGGGTGTGATCTTGTCAGCGAAGTGGGGCTAACAACAGTTCTGTGATAAAACCAGAATCTTTTACTTTGACCACAAGCCCAGAAACAAAACCAAAGATGACAAGCCCCCAAACCTCCAAAACCTCCTCCCCACGCTACAGCTGTAACACAATGCAACAAACTACAGCACATGAGTGCCCTTTAACCAAAATTTGTCAAAGTAGTTAAAAGCTTTATTTTAATTTCAAGAAGGTATTTCCTTCCTGCTGAATTTCTAGGTTTTGTTTATTTTACAGACCAGATAGGAAATGTGTTCATTACAGTTTTTGTGTTTATAAAAAGTATAAAAGTATATATACGTATAAAAGTATATATATATGTATAAAATGTATAAAAAGCATAAAAATGTCTTTAAAAGTATGCCATTATGTTTCATGTTTGGGGCCATCCACAAGCGTTTACTGACCTGGCATAGAACACTGTAACTTGGCATATTTGGGCAGTGACTGCTTTTTATTTTTGAAGCGGGATGGGTAAAAAGGAACTATACAAGGAAAATAAATACATTTTTTAAATTCACAACTCAAAATCAGCATTCACAGCTTTTACTCGTTCACAGTTTAAGAACACAAGGGGAGCTCAAAAGCCTGCCTAGTCCATGCTTCATCCAAATGGCATCTGTGATAATGATGCAGAAGGGCAAGGGACTACTAATATCAATGTGAACTAGAACACTGCTCAAAAGCAAATGGGCTTTTTAAACAGGCAATGATATGACTTTTTATTGAAACCAGGAGTCAGGATTTATAAACAAGAACAAAGTAATTACTAACACATGGATGTTTTACCTGATGATCAGTCTTCTTCCTAAATTTCAAAGGTGATGATGCCTTCACGCATTAATAATTAATCAAAATGCTTTTGGTCACCTTTGCTCCTGCTAAACCTATTCAGGCATTTCTGTAGGGCTCCAGAAAGGCAACTCAATTATTATCAAATAATTTCATTAAATAAAGATACCTTGTTTTTAATCACTGAACCCTTCTTTAAAAAATAATCATAAACTCATGTCAGCAAGTCAAATTCTGCCATCACAAAACTTCTCTTGATTCTGCCATCACAAAACTTCTCTTGATTTGTTGCTTCATTTACTGGGAAGAGTTATAACATGATATAGAATAACAGCATAAAATGAACTCTGAATAATGCAAAACAGGACAGTATCTATGTCCAAAATAAATATTTAAGATTTTTTTTTAACGTGCCAAGCTAAGGGCAGTAACACATGAAAATATGCTCAACATCATTAAACATCAGGGAAGTACAAAGTAAAACCACAATGAATCACCACCACACACCTATCGGAATGGTTAAAATATGAATCTGACCGCACCAGGTGTTGGTGAGGATATAAAGTGACTGGAACTCTCCTACACCGCTGGGGGGAAGGTAAAATGCACAACCACTTTGGGAAACAGCGGGCAGTTTCACTGTTAGGTATTTAACCCCAGAGAAACAAAAACACAGGTCCTATTACCACCACCCTGGAAACCTGCTGACTTAACATTCCAGAAGTTTTTACACTAAGGGTTGTTTTAGTAAAACTGCCATTGCTCCTAATTTGGAATTGTGTTTAAAAGGAAGAGAATATACTTTCACTAACTGCCCTCACTGTGCCAAAACAAAGTCTTTTTTTTTTAAAGATTTTATTTTTATTTATTTGACAGAGAGAGAGACAGCCAGAGAGGGAACACAAGCAGGAGGAGCAGGAGAGGGAGAAGCAGGCTTCCCGAAGAGCGGGGAGCCTGATGCGGGGCTCGATCCCAGGACCCTGGGATCATGACCTGAGCCGAAGGCAGCCGCTTAACGACTGAGCCACCCAGGCGCCCCAAAACAAAGTCTTAAGTACGCAAACATCATGATTATGAGCTTGCTGAAGTAGTCATCAGGATTTTCTATTACGTCAGGGAATGGAAGGAGATCTCCAGCATCACAAGTGTTGCAAATGGCTACTCAGTGCAATGTGCAGCCTGAGTCCATCCAGGATGGCTGTGCCCAATTTTAACATCATGTTATGGGTAAATAAGCACTGGAAAATAAACCACAAACCCACAGTATATCTTTTACTTTTGTAAACATGATTTGTGGATAACTTTTCAGTTTTCCCAAAGGCTGATATATATTTTAATAATTTGAATACATCAGTGTTAATTGAGTCGGCATAGGTCACCTAACCAACTACCATGATGTTTTGATGCTAAGGGCTATACCTTTCAATAAAGCTATTGAAATACAAAAACAAAAACAAAGGGCCAAAGACTTGTGCGTGAATGCTTATAGCATCTAGTAATATCCTAAAACTGGAAACAACTTCAATGTCCACAACAGTTGAACAGAGAAGCTGTGGCACGCCCACACAACGGAATCCTGCTCAGCAGTAAAAAGTCAAGGACGGTGATAAATGCAGTGATATGGGTGGAATCTCAAAATCAATATCCTAAGTGAAACAAGCCAAGCAAAAAGCACATAGTGTACGACTCCATTTATATAAAGTTACAGAACATGCCAGCAAATCCACTGATGGGTTTGCCAGAGACAGGGTGGAGTAAAAGGGGCCCGAGGAAACTTTTAGGGGTGAGGGGAATGCTTGTCATGGTGATTGTGGTGATGGTTTTGCAGGCGTGTATGTATGGAAAAACTGAGCGCGTTATACACCTTAAATACATGCACTTCAGTCACGTTGCAGGTTGGGGGAGGGCTGCCGCACCCTAAATTCTCCCTCTTGTTCTCTTAGGAAGCTTAAAGGAAAACATTTCAAATCATGGTGATGAGAAGGCCTTTGGAGCCTGAAACATGAGCCAGCTGCGAGCCACGAAGCCCGGGCTCCTCCTGTGTGCAGGCATATGCATCTTTGTTTTTCTGTATTTACGGAATCCAACCCCTGAGGAAGCAGAGGAGGAACCCACCTACCCAGCAGTAGTGGAATGTGGCTTTTATCCGGATGAACTGTGTTCAGCTTTATTTGAAGGGAAAGGGGCCGCCCTCCAAATTGCAAGATTTTGCAAAAACCCTCGTGGTTCTCAAATTCTTGCTCATTTACGCACACCAGGAAATTGCTCTAGGATTTCCCAGGAGTTGCATTTCATAACCAGACCCTTGTCTGCAGAAGAGAGCAGTTTCTCTTTGGCATATATTATAACAATTCATAAGGAACTGGCAAGGTTTGTGCAGCTTCTCAGAGCTACTTATGTGCCTCAAAACGTTTACTGTATTCATGTTGATGAAAAGGCCCCGAAGAAGTACAAGACTGCTATGCAAACCCTGGTTAACTGTTTTGAAAATATTTTTATTTCATCAAAGAGAGCAACAGTGGCTTACACTGGCTTTACAAGACTCCAGGCAGATATTAACTGTATGAAAGACCTGGTCCATTCCAAATTTCAATGGAACTACGTCATTAACCTTTGCGGACAGGATTTTCCAATCAAAACAAACAAAGAAATCATACACTACATCAGAACCAAATGGAATGACAAAAACATCACTCCTGGAGTAGTTCAACCACCAAACATGAATTCCAAGACAAGTGAAAGTCAGCCTGAATCCACCCCTGAAGGAAATATCTACATATCTCCAAACAAAAGATTCAAGGACGAACCGCCCCATAACTTAACAATTTATTTTGGAAGCGCTTACTATGTCCTAACGAGGAAGTTCGTAGAGTTTGTACTGACTGACACCCGCGCAAAAGACATGCTTCAGTGGTCCAAAGACATCCAGAGCCCGGAACGACATTACTGGGTGACTCTGAACCGACTGAGAGGTAAGAACAATCCAGCAACGTGGCGTCTGTTCAGATCAGAGGCAACAACAGAAGTTTATTCTCGAGTGAAAACTCTATTTCACTACTTTACTATGGCTCAGTAAATAGCTCTGCATTTTGCAAGACCTTTCACTTGAGGAGTACGGGAGGGTCTGGTTTTAGGGGTCTGAAGTTTGCTGAGGGTGTGCCATGTTCCCAAACCAGCCCAGTTGTTTTGTTCCCTCTCTGAAAAGAAGTCCTACCAGCATCTGAGCAGAAATCTTCAGACACTTCTTGATTCAGTCATTAAATACTACTACGTACCAACTAGTGCCAGACATTATGCTAGGGGCTCTTTAAGAATAGAAAATATTAGAAGTAGTAATTTTTTGGGTGGCAGATAGGATACCTCAGATAGGTTCCCCGAGAGGCAGAGGGAGAGTTGATGTCCTTCTTTATGTGGACTTATTTTCTCTTTGCATAAAGCTGAGTGGCTCCTGTAGGGGATGTGGCTTCAAGTTCGAACAGCTAAGTTAATCGGTCCAGATGACAGTGCAAACACTGGATCCGGTAAAAACTGGTTAGGTGCTTATTATAATCTCTCATATCCACTGAAAATCCTATTTTCGAATCCCCTCAGAGGGCTATCATGGGGAAAACACAATACCAAGAGACCCAACATCATCAGGCCAAGGGTGCGTTGTACTCATTCGGTGAGTTACTGGGGATGGAGAAAGGGATGAAAGCGAAGCACAGCGCTGGGACACAAGGCCAGTGTGGCCCTCTCCAGCCGCTCCCAAAGCGTTACCCCTCATCAGACCACAGCTGAACACTCCGAGCGAGGTGGACACCCCCCGCCCCGGACTCCTGCCTGTGCAGGAAGGGGGAGGGCCGGCACAGAAGTGGGAGCCAAGGGCTGAGGAGCTGCCTGCGCCGCAATGCCTGGTCTGCTTCCCCCACAGATGCCCCGGGAGCCACGCCGGAGGCCGGCTGGGAGGGAAATGTTCATGCTGTGAAGTGGAGACACGAGGAGGGAAGTGTTCACGATGGATGTAAAGGTAAAAATCAAACCAAATCAAAAGCAAGCCTTCCCGTTGTAGGCAAACTTGACAACTGCTGCCGGGGTAAGGTCAGGAGACGCAGACGACCGCTAGCAGAAGTAGTGAGGGGATGAGTGAGGTCCCAATTCCTTGGGGTCAGTTTTTTAAAAACTTCTTACGTAATTATAATACCTAGACAGCAAAGCGCACAAATCCTAAGTATTTGGGTTGATGCATTTTCACAAAGTGAACACTAAACCGGGCTGCAACTTTAAACGTTTTAAAATAAAAACACACAAGCTAGCTGGTTTCTTCCACCTGCTCCTAGAATTCAAACTCAACATTTATTTAAAAAAGCTCTGGGTCTCCCTCAGTCTCTACTAGAATAGATGAGGGAGTAACACAGGTGTATGCTCCAGAGTGGGTTCTTAAGTAGTTCTTGCTGAAGGAAAGTCTTTTCGCTTTTTCCCCTCAGGAGACTCTCCCGGGGAGCTGTGGATTCTTGTCTGGTGTCCCAGAGGTTTTAGTTACCAGGACAACAGAGAAAAGACAGACCTGGGGTGGGGAGGGCAGTGTCCCTCTTTGGTGGACAGGCTAGAAAAGCACTGGCTGACCAGCAGGTTCTCAGGCACCACAGTCTGGGGGGAGATGCCTAGGGACTGGGAGGACCAGAACCAGGCTCCTGTCGCGCTGTTCAGGCCTACTCTCCAGGCGCCAGCTCTCCCTGACCCCCGCCGAAGCCTGGGGTTGGGCGGCTGCCCGAGAGGAGCACACGGTCTCGGGGAGAAGACGAAGGCCAATGGTCACAGTGCCACGTCCACAAGTCCAGTGGGGAGAGGTGCAAGCGCTCTGGGAGCCCACCTGGAAAGGAAAATGAGGTGTCCAACCTTTATGGGGCCGCCAACTGTGTGGGACAGAGAAGGCGCGAAGAGCCGGGCAGACGTGCGTGCAGGTGGCTGGGGCAGAGCATCCTCTGTCCGAAGGGATCTGGCTTGCCCGTTCCGTCCACACGCAGCTTCCCAGCCACGCAGGAGGGGCCACCACATACAACCACCTCTTCTCATTGTGCATTTGAGTGTGGTCCCCTGGCTTGAATGACAGTACACCAGCTAGCCACCAGGCTCACCCAGTTTTCAAGCTGTTTAAAAGGCTGGCCCAAAAGCAACAGGTTGCAGACAAATGAAAAGTGTAAAACCTAACATCAGAGTAATTCAAAGATGAGCAATTCCTGCTGCCATGTACGCAGCCACCCTCCTGACAGGTACCAGGTCTGGAAGGGCTGGAAGAATTTTCTAGATGTCTTTAATAAATATTTTAGCCAGTATTCAATTAGGGAGCTATTCACACAGTAAGAAGGTGACAGTCAAACAACAGGCTAAGGAGCAACCTTGACCTTTCTTTAGAAAGCAGGTGCTTGTTGCCATTACACACTGGGGTTGACAAGACTGGTAACTAAATGCTCGGGTAGGGGTGGGGGCCGGGGGCTCAGATTCCTCCTGAAAACATGATTCACTCACAGTATAAGAAGTCATGAAGGCCTGTTGCTATCAATAATAATGATTTAGAATTCTTAGAGTGACAACCTGAATATTTCAATGTTTGTCAAAAAGCCCAATTACTGTGAATCTTAACAAAAATCATCATTGCCCCGAAGTAAACACTTCAGAAAGTTCTTGCCATTGCTCACTTCAGTGTGCAAACCATCCACAGTATAGCAGCGATGTGGCCCCTGCCTCAGGCCGAGCACTGGCGGGTGAGTGTGGCAGACCCTGCCCCCTTCCAGAGCCCGGCTCTGGGTCTTGCAGCCCATCCTCACAATGACTCACAGCTGTTAACTACCATAGTCACACTTTACAGAGGAGGAAGCCCAGGCTCTGAGAAGTGAGGTCACTCCCCATGTCACAGGAAGTGGCCCAGGAAGTGGCAGAGCCAGGTCTCAAACCAGGTGCCACTGCCTGATGCCCCTCCACTGGATATGCTGACACAAAGAGGGACAGTCACCCTGTTGTTATTTGTAATCACCAAAACAGCACGAGCCCGACTCTGAGGACTTTCCATTTGCTTGTGTTCCCTTCCGGCTCAAGCTCATGTGTGTGGAAATGAGACAGAATTATCCAGTTACAATCAAGGTGCAGCTGAAAATCTTTTTACTCTGTCCTAAGTTTTTCAGACTGCCTGTCTTCACATTCAGACTTTTCAACTGGTGAAATGTAATTCTACTGATACTCCGTGACACACTGTACCAAGAATGCCTACCAGAAAGATTTCAGTCATGACGACAGTTGCAGCTTAGAGCGCTCACCCTGCAGGAGCTGCTTGACCCTTTACCGGATGAGCGCCTGCTCACCAGGGGAACGTTCTTTCCGCCTTTTTCCCGTCTCACCAGCAACACTGGATGATTCTGTGCATGTAGTTCCGCCCCTTTCCTATATTTCCCTCAGACAGGTTTTTAAAAGTAGGATGACTGGGTTGGTGTGGAGAGAAAGTAGGGCAGAACTGGGCACAGAGCAAGGTCTCCAAAATGGGGAGACCTTTCCCTCACAAACAAACTGAGCGCTCGCTTCTCTGGGAACCGAAGGTGGTAATGGAGTCACCTCAGGGTGTTGGTGGGAGGGTGACAGAGAAGGAAGCGCCAAGCACAGCGTCAGGCACATGAGACATGCTACTGAGCTCATCTCGAAGGAATTCAGCACTGGATTCTAACTATCATTCCAATTTTAATTCCTTCCATTTGTATCACACACTCACTCTGCAAGAGCAAGAACCGACTGCAGCAAGGAACTGTTACCACTGATGCAATTCTCGTGAACTACCCACAACCAAGGAAAACAAAGTTTGTAGAACCTAACAGAATTTAGAGTGGGCCAGGCAAATGAGTGCTATATTACACCTCTCTCGTGTGTTCATTAATAACGAACATTCCACAGCATTCCCTTAAAGTAGCCATTAAACATGCCAGAGATCACTGACAGAAAAAATGAAACATCCCTGTCCCCACGGATTCAAAATCCAACACAGAAGCCCCGGTCAGAGCGATCCGAGAAATCATGCTCGGTCTGAGCTCCTGTGAAGCAGGGGCCTGTACAGATGATCCTGGAAAAGTGTCCCTTTTTGTGTGTGAATGTAAACTGATGACACAAAGGCAGCTCGGTTTTTGTGCTTCTTCCTGCAGGCCGCTACGTCCACGAGAGCTGCGTGTATGGACCAGGAGACCTGCCGTGGATCATTCGGTCACCTTCTTTGTTTGCCAACACGTTCGACTCGACAGACTCTCTGGTGGTGACCTGCCTGGAGCGGTGGCACCGGCTGCGGGTGCTGCGACAGGCAGAGGCTCCTGTGGAGCCACACTGGCGTTTCCCACAGGACGGTCACTTCAACAGGAGACTGAGCCACTGAGCGGGAAGCTGCAGAGTGTTTGCTTTCTTACTGCTACCGCTTGTTCCTGACTTGTAATAAGAGAACTCTGACCCAAAGAAGGAAGGATGAGAAATGATTCCTTGATACAAGCTAGTCATCAGATGAATTTAGAAACATGCTGTTGATGAGGCCCTCGATCTAAAGATGGTGGCTTCAGCAGTGAGGGGGGCTGTGGCGCTGCGTACGAGCATTAGCCGGCCCGTGGCTTTTGTCAGAAAAATTCCCTGGACCGCGGCTTCGAGTGAGCTGAGAGAACACTTTGCACAGTTCGGCCATGTACGGAAGTGCACTGTACCCTTTGACAAAGAGACTGGATTTCACAGAGGTATGGGTTGGATTCAGTTTTCTTCAGAAGAAGAACTTCAGAATGCACTACAACAAGAAAATCATAATCTTGATGGAGTAAAGCTCCACGTTCAAGCTCAAAGACCAAAAGTTTTGCAAGGGGATCAAACATCTGATGAAGAGAAAGAGTTTTGAGACTATTACTACCTATTAAACAAAATTAAAAAAAAAAGAAACATGCTGTTGACAAACCGTTCCTATTAATCGTAGGCCACTTTTTAGCTCTGAGCAAGAAATCAAGAGAGGAAAAGTGACTCAAAGGTACTGCTGGGGGCCCCTGGACCTGCCAGCTGGACTGCTTCCATAAACAGTGGCGGCAAATCAAAACCTCCCAACACTAGATCCTGACTCAAATTAGGTAAGAACACATCTTATTTCTAAGATACTACTGTGTATGAGATTCTAATAAAGAACAAACTCCCACTGGAAACGAAACTCCGCTTATCTACAAGAGTCCTCTTTGGCTGTCAACCGTGTTAACTTTGTTCTGGTAATCCTAGAAAAACACAGAAGAGTCTACTTCCTTTGGGTAAAATGAAACTAATCTAGAGTTGAAACACACTCTCTTAAAAAGGTTGCCATACGATTCCGCAGCCTCGCGGCGCTAACAGAACCGTCTGCCCTGATGGCTTGCTCTGTGCTACGTCTGGGCTGCCCCATGCCAGTGACCACGACCACGACCATGACCACAGGGGCTTCGGGGTATTTGAAATGTAGACAGTGTGACTAAGTGAAACTTAATCTTTATTTTTAAAAAAATTTAATGAACTGAAATTTAAATAGTCACATGTGGCTGGTGGTTACCACACTGAACAGCACTGGCCAAAGGCAGGAATGATCTTAATTTTCTCTACTCACAGATTCGGGTCTCTAAACAGTCCATGGCTTTTTCATCATTCTGTGAGGACTTTCTCTATATTCTCTTTCTCTAAAATAGTTTGTGGCATCGTACAAGACTGAAAATGTTAAGTGGCACAACATGGAACAACCAAAATAAAGGAAAAGCAGGAACCACAGAAGACACTAAAGAAATAAATGTGTAACTCATAAGCAGAGTCTAAAGCCTCAGTGATATTTATTGCAAATACCTTTGCAATAAAATCAAATCAACTTAGTCAATGCAAATAGCCCTTGGAAAGCACAAAGCTAAACAGAAGGAAAAGAGGCTCTGAAAGCAGGTCCCACAAATCAAATGTAAGTAACCACAGAACATTAAAATCTTCAACAAGCATTTCTTCCACTCAGACACCTAATTTCAAGGAAAGCACACACTGAAAATGTTCAGACTGTCAAAGACAAGAACGCAAGAGCCCCACGACAGCACAGCTCTGCTTTTCTACACACTTCTACAGGCAAACACAGTGCTCACCAATGGTGCCAACTGGCTACGTTCTGAAAGCTCGAATTCACCACGACTGTGTCTCCTATATTTTATGACAACTCACTAGCAAGTTAAGGGCAAAACCCATTAAAAAAAAAAGCTTGTATCTTTTCAAGTTACTTGAAACACAAGCCTGCCTTCATTTTGTTTCAATGTTAATTGAATATTTCGTTTCAATGTCAATTGAATAGTCACACATCAGAAGGGTCTAATCCGGGAACCTACTTACCAGATTTGCCACAAGGATGAAGCACTTTAGAATGATTTCTGACTCACCTCACAGATGAGGAAACTGAGGCACAGGGCAACAGTGGGACTTTCCAGGACCACATGGCTAAGCAGGTGAAGCTGGGCTTTGGACCTAAGCAGGCAGTCTGGCTCCAGAGTCCAAGCCTTTACCACACCCCCTCACCTCATACAAAGAAACGAACTCAAACACAGAGCCGCGCTCCAAGGGATCAGATATAATAGAAGAAGCTATCTCAACAAATCCTTCCAGTAAAGATAAAATAAATAAATAAAAATATAAAAAACAAAATACTAAAAAAAAAAAAAGTAACTTAAAGCCACGGTGCAACGAAGCGGCAGGAGATTCAGGGAAGGACAAGCTGGGTTTCAGCAGTGTGCCGGGGGAACAACGGGAGCCGAGGGTGACAAACAGGCAGCCACCAAGGCCGGGACAGGCCAGGGAGGCCAACAGAAAGCAGCAGCCTCCGTTGGTGTTAGAACCAACAAGAAACTTCTGTTCGCTCTACTCTGAGTCAGACTCTCACTGTGTTCATTTGTAAGAAGAAAATTAAATCATGTGCAACAAGAATGTCTGAAACAGACCACTACAGACTGTACCTTAAAGGTGATGCATTAATCGGGATCTTGAGATAATTTCCCTTTTTGGGAGTAGTACCTTCTTGCTAACAATGTAGACTCTACAGTTCAATTTTTCTATTAGATTTCTCTAACATGTGAAAAAGTTCAAGGCTGCCTGTGTTGCATGTTATGCAGTTCCCTGAGGCTTAATACCTCCAAAGACCATAAAGATGGCAGAAAGCTAAAATTACCCGACGGACATCAGAGCTTGAAAAAAAATCAGCATTCGCAGACCACTTTTGAAGATACCCCTTTCCCTAACATTTTCTCCCGTTTCCATTCCCCCTCCCCAAGAAAAGACAGCAAAAAAGTGGTGCCCGGCTGGCTCAGTCAGTGGAGCATGCAACTCTTGATCTTGAGGTGGTAAATTCAAGCCCCACATTGGGCATAGAGATTACTTAAAAAAAAAAAAGAATCAGCATGAATGTAAATTTTTGTTTCACTTCTGACTTTAAAATATCCACATATCCCACTCAATGACCACAAAGCCTAAATAAATGAAGTCAGTGGCAAGTCAAATGCTACTGGGTCACAACTCTAACATCTAAATCAGGGATTCTCAAACTTTATAGTGCATGCAAGTTTCCAGGGCGGGGGTGTGAGGGTGGGGAATCTTGTTAAAATGCAGATTTTGATTCCACAGATCTGGAGAGGGACCCAGGAGTCTGCATTTCTTAAAAAGAGAAAAAACAAAAAACCTCCCAGGTGATGCCAATATTGCAGGACCATGGATGACGCTCTGAGTAACAAGCACATCGTTTATTTGGCAAACTAATTACTCCAGTGTGTTTCTCTTTATTACAAGAAGGGAAGAAGACAGTGGGGAATACAATTAATTTTTTGGCTAGTCACTTGTTTATAGCAAAAACAAACCAACCAACCTAGCAACTACATCTCTTTGGACCCTGTTTATGGAAATTAAGTGTGCACGCCGTGTGTTTCAGAACACACAAGCAGAGAGATCTCAAACCCTTGAGTCTCTTCTAGTGAACTGAAAAACCAAATGTATATGAAACTACAGAGTGGAAAGTAGAGAAAACGTACACCTAAATATCCCTGAGGTTCCCAAGGCATTCTCAGGACACTGGTTTCTCTAAATTTCAGACATTACTTAAAAAACCGAAAATATTTGTTTTAGACTTTGATGCTGTGGCTTCACCTCACTTCACTGACATTTCCCTGATGCACTGCAGTTCCTGGAGCTGCACATGACTCTTCCTTTTCGCAGTCTTGGCAGAAATGGCTGGTGTCCACTTCTTCCTGGGCATCCAGCTCTAGTACCTGTCCCAGGTTTCCCTGCAGTTCGGTGTGGCCACATGACTGAGCGATGGACAACGGAACGGGAGCAGAAGTGATGAGCACCACTTCCCGACCTGGGCCATAAAAATCTCCTATGCTGTATGCTCCCTGCCCTGTTCCCATCAGTCAGCCGAGTGCAGAATACTCCAGACCCCAGCAGGAGTCGAGTCCTTGAGTCTCCCTTGGGAGAAAGCTGCCCGACCAGGAACTGTCACTGCATCAGCCACGGGAATGTGAGGGCTGTGGGTCATAGCAGTTAGCCAACCTTGAGTGATACACTTAGTATTCCTATACTTTAGAGACTTGAATTTAGACATAGGAGTTTGATTCCTGAGAGCAGTACATACATTTGTCATTTATTATTTTAAAAACGTTATCATTTGGAATCTGGATCTAAAAGGAAAGTGTCTTAAGAACTTATTATAATCCTTCATTTTACATATTAGAATCTGGGGTCCAGAGAAATGATATTCCCAAGCCAGCGCTGGCGTGTGACCCAAAGCTGATCCATACCAGGCTCTCAGTGCTGGTTATGTGGATGAATGACTCCTACTCAAGTGGGCCACTGGCTGTCCCATGCTCTGTGATTTTCTAAACTGCACAGTGTCATACGCTGAATGTGTCCCCCACAAAAAGCGGAAGTCCTAGGCCTCAGTCACAACGTGACCTTCTTTGGAAATGAGGTCACTGTAGATGTAGTTAAGATGCAGTTACTGGGCGGGGGGGGGGGGCTATTCTAACAACTGGTGTCCTTATAAAAAGGCAAAATTTGGACACAGAGAGAGACTCCATAGAGAGAAAGCCATAGGAAGGCACACAGGGAGAAGATGACCATCTCACACCCCTCAGAAGGAACCAGCCCTGCCAGTACTGTGATTTTGGACTTCACACCTCAAGAACTGTGCGTAAATTTCTGTGGAGTCACCCAGTTTCTGGGGCCTTGTTGTGGCAGCCGGTGTTAGCAAACTAATACTTGGAGTTTTTTCTGAAAATATTTTCCCGAAACTTCCTGGAGGATAGCCAGTGTCCTTTCTTGCCTGCAGGAGGTTTCGACAGCCCTGGCAGCTGCCCTCATGAGATAGGAAGA